CATTTCCAATGAGATCCTTCTCCCCATTGCCCATTTCGCGGGCCAAGAACGAGGTGGAGACGGAGCGCACATTTGTCGGCGATACACCATCGCCGCCGGAGGACGACGCGGCCGAAGGCGGGTACATGAGAGCATTGGATGAGGACCTATGACGAACGCGGGAGGACTGGGCCTGGGTCTGGCTGCGCCCACCGTTGTAGGAATCGGAGGGAACTGCCCCTTGCTCGTCATCGTAGTCCATCAGCTCATCATGTTCACCATGCTGACCGCGATGAGAGTGAGTGCGGGAGTGATGGTGGTAGTGTTGGGATTGGTGATCCGCACTGGAGGAGCCCATCGGAGGAAGGCGGTTCGGATACCCTCCCGCAGTCACAGCGCCGTACTTGGCAGCACTGCGCCTCCCGACCGTCATCGACCCATCATCTGGATGCATACCATTCGCAGCCTGCTCGAGCGCTTCATACGGTATATCGGGCACCGACATTCGACGCGCTCCCGGCCCAGATGGATGGCCATTCGAGGGACCAGACATACCATTTGTCGTCGACACCCCAGCTCCTGACCCGCTGACGGTAAACGCGAACGTTCCTGGAGAAAGCGGGGACATCTCCCTGCTCCCTGGCCCAGGGCTCATATCGCGCGAGCTTTCAGGTCGCATCTGCATGCTCAGGCGCGATGAATGGCTGCTATTCTGTTGATACGACGAATATTGACCGCCGTCATTGGGACTATGAGAGCGGGCTCCGCTGCCCATTGACCTTCCCTGCGTCTGTTGGCTATTAAAAGAGGCCGTTGTCGATCCCGATAGAGGGCCCGAAGTACGCGAGGCAAGAGGCTGCGGGGAGGACGTGAGAGGCTCACGATCATGCGACAAAACGCGCGAGATGCCTGGAGGACCATTCGGATCAATCTCATTGTTGGGCCCAGGGAGTATGGGAGGCAGAAGGGGCCCACTCGACCGATGCTGGAGGGAGTGGGGAGAGGCTCGCGAACCAGCCTGAGAGTTTGGTGTTTGCTTAGTACCATTCTCCGATGCAAACGTCGTGACGCTAGCGTTCGCACTCACTCCACCATACGAAGTCACCGAGTAAAAGCTTGCGGAGGAGTCTCGCCGGGACCTAGGCTGGCCAAAGTCATCAAAATTGCCACGCGCCAATGGGAGCGATGTAGTCGACGATGCTGAGCCCTGGTGTCGATGACCCAGAAATCTCGGCAAGGGCGGCAGTTGTGGACCGCCTCCGCGCATAATGTTCATTCGCATGGATCTGGGCACGATGTTTGCGGTCACACGCAGCAAACTGCTCGGATCATACTCGTCTTCATCCTCGTTTGCGTCATCCTCGTCTTCTTCAGGCACCTTGGGCTTCATCGATCGTAATCGCCCCAAGGCACCCGAGTGAATCGAGTGTCGGCGGTCGTATATATTATAGCCATGGCCGCCATTGGGATCTATGGTCGAGTTGCGTCGTTTGGCTGGTGGCGGACCATGGCCAGGTACATATCCCACGGCCGATGGGGGCCCGGGCAGGGCCATGGGGGGCATATACGGATACTGATGATTCGTGGCAGCGTACCCGTCGTTTGGATCGCCGAGACTGCTGCCGATGTCAAGACTTCCAAGCGTCGGCAAACGATCGTGGGTCTGTTTCCGTTTTAAGCTGCCTGAACCGCCGCCAACAGTACCGGCGCTGCTGCTGCTATTGCTGCTGCTGCTATTAGACGCGAAGGGGGGCAGTGTGGGAGGTGGCATATAGGACGATCGTGAGCCAGAAGCGCTGACGGTCGTTGGCGTAGGCGGCATGGAGCCATTCGTGCTGCTATTACCAACACTTCTCGGTGGCAGAGAATATGATAGCATCGGGGGGACGATTGGGCTAGGCCCATCATCAAGCTGATTGTGAGGCGATGGGAGCCGGACGTCGTCTTGGGACGACGCAGTAGAGGAGGGTGAATCGCCTAGTGGGGGCAGTGTGAGTGGATGAGCACGAGGGGAAGTAGACCCAAGCAGACTCTTATGTTGTTGTGACCGGTACTCATACTGCTCTCTCTGTTGGGCGTTGTATCGGCGCATAGTAAAGCTACTAAAACCAGATGGCTCGGATGATTCGAGCTCGTCGATTTCCTCCACTTTGACTGGTGTAGACCGGAAAGCTCCCGTCCCTGGCGAAGTGGCCGATGGGGGTGTGTGAGAGTGGGTTCGGTCGCTGTGTTTTTGTGGGGGCGGTAGATGATGATATGATTCGGAGGGAGTCGGAGGTCCACGAGGTCGAGGACTCGGATTGGAAGCACCGGACGAAGTAGATGGAGGAGCGCGGGCGGGATCAGCAAACATGGTCTGATGTGGATGAAGGGCGAGCGGATAATGCGGGTAATTAAACCGCACAAATGGCTAGACTAGGCGCTCTGACGACGGACTGGGAGAGCGCGAAAGAGCAGCGGACACGCCTAGGGAGCGTTCTTGCTGAGCTTGAGAACGCAGGAGTTTGAGTGGCCTCAAAGAGCGAGTAAAAAAACGGGAGAGAAAAACAAGCCGAGGCAGGGAAAGAATAGCGGCAAGAGAGAGATTGCCCCAGGGCGAGAGGCACTCAGGACAGGCACCAAAGCACACTTGGAAGATTTAGTGCGGACAAAGGACGCCAAAAAGCGAGAGTAGAGCAGAGCGCTGCAGATCGTGCAATGGGTCGATGATATGCACCCACGGACGACGGCGTGGACCGATGACAGAGTCGTCACCAGCGGTTGGACAAACAGCTGATGATGAGCGGACCTATTGGAATGCACCGTCGAGTGAGTTGCCCCGCGAGTTCAGATATGGCTATGCACCGGCGCTAAGTACCTGGATGGTGTTGTTGTTGTTGCTCGTGGCAGGCTCGAGCGCGGACGTTGCAAGAGTGGTGGGTGAGTGGGAGGGGGGTGGATGGATGGTGGCTGGAACGTGGACGAGGACTCGGAGTTTCTGTATGGCTCCCTCGTGGGTCCCATCCGCCATTGAATGCGCACGATCTCGTGAATTTCCCATTGGTAAAAGGCATTTACTTTCCCCCCTCCTTCGTATTTCCATACATGGTACATCAGGCGCTTTCTATCTCCCGTTTGCGTTTTTAGCATTGCTATCTTAGCTACACCATGGTGACAGCGGATCAATAGACTCCCACTGAGAAAGAGACTCACCCATCTTTAGGTGAGTCCCCCCTCCCCAACTTGGCCGATCGCCGCCTTTCTGCCCCCGCCATCCAGACCATCATCTATCATCTCCGTGCCCGGATGCCGGAGGCGAACACCGCAACCAGGGACGAACGAGGCCCTGCCCTTTGCCGGACCATCCATTTGCCCATATTCGCCATAGACTGTCGGCATGCGTATCGCGCGTATCGACATCGGTCGCTCTCGAAGCATCGATTGTTTCATCGCGAGCACGCCGATTCGGTGCCTCCCATCACAATTTTTTAAACGGCCAATTTGACACGCATTATGAACCGCCTCTCATGCAGGCCAATCAATCAAAAGCAGGCAGACAGAACTAGACAGGTCAGGTCAGACAGGTCAGGTAGACCGCAAGAAAAGAAAGGGTCGTGCGATTCAGAAGGACCACTGTGCCGGAGATGAAACGTGAGGCGGCCGCGGGTGCAGTCGAATCAACTTCCTCCATTCTTTCCTGCATTGTCTGTCACCATCATGTGGGCACCGCGACAGGGATCAACATCGCACAAACTCACGCCCTAATTACTGCCCTAATATACGCAGCCGAACAGCTAGAAAATTTCGCGCTTGCATGGATCAGTTGTGATTAGCCACTCATAAGAGCATTATCACTGAGAATACCTTAGAACCGAACGACGCACCTTGCCGCAGCTAATATCCAGGCTCTTCGCGCCGTTCGTGCATGGCACGATTTTTCAATTATGACAAAGTCGGGAGCCACGCAGGACCCCGTCGTGCAAATCACTTACCCATGTGTACTTTGATTGAATGTCAAAAACCTGCATCGTCCCTAACGTCATGATGATCATCACCTCGGAGGTTCCAGAAGGTGCGGGGCGCGAGCAACAATGACCAGAAGCAGACCTACTTGGCATTGTCCTAGTTAGAATAGTTTCAGCCCTTTGCTTCATCGCATGCATGATGTCAATCCTGTCAAACTAGCTTAGGGTACTGGGCGCTTTCCTCCTAAGGTGGGTGTGGCCCCCGTGCCTTCGGGGCGGTATATCAGAACACGGCGGCTGGCCGTTTTCCTCCAAGTTTTCTTTTCCACAGGCGCGAACAACATGCGCCATAGTTACTGCCCTCATTCTTCCAGAATCCACATCGTTCAACGTGTCATACAAGTTGGAGCTTGGGGCATACCTCCTATTTCGGCCATGAATTTCATCTCAAACACCGATCCCATTCAGGAGCAGTGCCACCTCCACACATTTCCCAAATGGGGTGGACTGTCCGACTTTCCTATGGCACACGCGAAGCCTCAGGGCGCATAGATTGGTCTCATACCCGCCTCGCGTGCAATTTCACTCCCATCCCAAATAGAAGGTCGGCCTTGGGTTCCTGATGTACTGATCTGACCCGGCGGCATGGCAAGAAATTAGGCAACAGATGAGCCAAACGCCATGACGATGAACACCCCACCGGCGGAGACGACACTCCGGATACAAACAGAGAAACAGCTTTTTTTTTTTTTCCATAGGGGGGCGTGGGTTCAAATCCGGCTCTCGTCGCGTCATGGAGTGCTTCTTTGCACATATGGTCAAATAGGAGGAAGTCTCCTTTCGTTCAATGAAAAGTGTCCCATAGCATGATCACGATCTTGAAACTTCTCACCATGTGTGTCGGGCTGCTCCACCTGGTTCTTTTTCACACGGAAAATGCCAAAGGGTGGCAAATCATGAGGATCATATGAATTGCGGCCCCACAATGGATGTTCCAAGGGGGCCAGGCGCGACTGGCCAAAAAACATTGTCCCAAAGACCTGCAACGGAAAAGTGTACAGAAAAAGATTAAAAAGATGACGAGAGTGGGATTCGAACCCACGCCCCGGAGGACCGCGAAGCACGTTGAGAGCCTGAACACGGCGCCTTAGACCACTCGGCCATCTCGCCAGTTGGTGGAGAAGGAGGAAAGCTGCATATATTTTCAATAGCTGTAAACAAAGCGCGTCCTGTAATCGTTGGACCTTGATGTGAATTATTTTCAACTCTATGTGAGATTCTTGGGCCATCTTCCCAACGGTATATACAGTGACATTATCTTATACGCGACTCTTGCGGATGTGGGATGATTGAAAAGGAGGTGCATGTCTGCGCGCAAACAAACCACTCCAAGAACTGGACGCAGATCGATCTGGTTTATTTCATGGGCTAACTCTCACATCAAATCCTCTCAAAATAAGATGCCCGGATGATGCACCAAGCCCCAGAACTGACTAGTCAAATGGTTATGGCATTATCGGCGGAGATTGCAGCAAAGCTATGAGTCCAACGCACACTCACACAAGGCGTTCATTTTCCGGTGGAAAAAAGTGGACCAAAAGCGTACAGATCAAGAACAGGATTTGATTCATTTTCAATTTGTGAAAGTATTGTAATGATAGAGGGAAAGCGAGGCAATGATTGTGGTCCTGATACAAATTGGGGCTGATGAGGTTAGGAAAGTGGTGCACGTATCTTGGACGGAGCAAAATAAAAACTGTAGACGCAAGCAACTTCCATGGTGCATGTGCGTGGCAAGTAGCAAGAAGCGGGGAGATGACCAAGGCAACAGAGCGAAGTGGATAAGCAAGATCGGTAAGTGAGAAAGGAAATGGAAATGAGCGAATAACGCATAACCCGACGAAATCTAGATCCACAAGCAAAAAGAAGAAAAGGGAAGACATTGGAGTGCAAAAGGTAGGAATGGAAGAGAGCAAGCGATGGAAAAAAAGAATGGGGTTGTTGGTATGGATACAAGTGAGATTGGGTTTGGATACCGGGAGCGAAACACAGAAAGGGCAGCGAAGCCCAGATTGCAGATAACGAACTGATAATGAAATGAAATGGAGCACTGGTATCGGTTAGTAAGTAGCATTCAAAGGATGATCCTCGGCGAGGTCGCACAAAAGGGGATCAAAGACGATATTAGTATAGAACGAACAGCATTAGTGCTGCAATCAGCGAAATATGAAAAAGAGCAACGGGTCGCAGGGGCCAAGAGAACAAAATAAAGGCAGAGACGATCAGAACATCCTGGATTGTCGATTTTGTCCGTATGGAGGCTGATACTGTTGCTGATATTGTTGCTGATGCTGTTGCGGTGGTGCCTGTTGGGCGTACATGTAACTCCCAGGGACAGGCGCCGCTGGTGCTTGCTGCCGGGGCGGGGGCATGCGCGCCAATGGTGGTGGTGGGCCAGGTGCCACGAACCCAGCTGGGGGTTGATTACCGGCTGGGCGCTGGTAGATGGGTTGTTGCTGCGTTTGTGCCCGTAACTGCTCAATAGATGGCTGGCCCTGTGCCCACGGTGGCTGTGGCGCCCCTGGGGTCCATTGCGGCTGGGCCTGCATTTGAGGTTGGCCGCGAGCGGGGGCGGGAGGGTGAGAGACAGGCTGTGCGGGTTGTTGTGAAACCAGGGTCCCTTGTCTCTGTGGCGGGTACGGAGCGCGGGCAGGGTAGTTTTGGTTAGGTGGGTAATAGCCTCCAGGAGTGGGGGCTGGAACCCCAGCAGGTTGCTGAGGCGGAGGGACGTAAGAGGCACGGTACCCAGCGGGCTGTGGCTGTTGCTCCATCAGCTTCGCTTGTTCGTACAACGCGGCACCTTGTCGTGGGTCGTATTGCCCTCCAACGGCAGCACCAGCACCTAATTCGTCGTGCAAAGAGTTGTGGATGCTTGATGCAGTGGCACGACCGCTCCTTACAGACAGTGGGCTCGAGCTTCGGGGTGGGGGGCTGCGGCTCCGCATGCTCGCCCCTGGACTCATAGGCATGCTTGCCATGCTCTCCCTATCATCTTGTGGTGAAGCATACTGCTGGTCTTGTCCCCAACTGACGGGTGACAAGGGCCCATTTGACGATGAGGTTGATGGGTAACTTGAAGACTGGTACATGTCGGACGAGGCGGCGAAGCCACCCATGCTACTGTAGGTCGTTGGTGCACTCGCAGTAGAAGCGATCGAGTTGGAGCTCATGAAGGAGGCCACTGAATCGCGATTTCGTGCTGGCGGCCGGCGAGGACCGACTTTCATGGTAGACGACACCGACGCCCTACAAACGAGTGCCCGTTACATACAGTTTAAGCGAATGCCAAGAGAACGGCGAGGGACGGAGCGAGGAAAAAGACACAGAACACGAGTCAGACGAGATATTAATTGCGGGGTGAAATGAGAAGCGAGGAAAGACTCACGCATAGAAAGCGTTCGGGCTAGCATTCCTCAGACCCATGCCTTCGTCTTCCGGCCCTAGATTGAGGCGAGCATCCTGCTTGTAGGCTACGGATGAGTCAAAACGCATCCGTACGAACTGTGCTGGCCCAAGAGTGGCCCTTGATGCTAGGTTAAAAGAATGTCGGGAAGATGAGGACCAAGGAAAAACGTTATGAGGCATAAGGGGGGACGTACCATTAGACGCTGCAGGTGCTGAGTACCGGTTAGACGTAGACGCTGGCTCCTCGTGTTGTGACCCGGCGTCTGCTTGAGAGCTCATATTATACGTGGTTGTCGTTGCTGGTGCAGAGGAAACGTGGGGTTGTTCATACTGCTGCCCTGATGTTGCCGTTTCGGGGACTAAATTCAGAGGAGCAGGAGGATTGGGCGTGGCTACCATCGTGACCGATGGCACATACTCGGCGGAGGATCGGGCTGAAGCCTCTCCCTGTAGTTGCGCGCTAGAGCCACTAAAGTTCATCTGCTGCAGCTGCGCCATCGTCTGCTCAAGCTGAGGGTCCATCGGGATAGATGCGATCGCCGAGAAGGGAGGGGGAACCTCATCGTCCTCAGTGCTGTTCCTCCAGCACGCATTATCGCCAAACAGGGCAGCATGGCGATCTTCCTCTTCAAACTCTGCAGATTCTGCCACAGGTGGCAGGCCCACAACGGGGTTAGACATTGTTACGAAATGCTGTTGTTGTTGTTGTTGTTGTTGCTGTTGGTACTGTGGCTGTGGTGCCGGCGCAGGTACGGGATTTTGGCCTTGTATTATGGCTGGAGCAGCAGAAGGATGAGGAGCAGAAGCAGGTATGCGAGACTGAGGAGCGATCTCAACAGGCCTATCGGCCTTGGGCGCCGTGTGTGTCATGGAGCTGTGATCGGCGGTGGAGGGGTTGCTCCAAGTGGGCGCAGAGGCCAGGAATTTCTCAGCCTTTTTGAGGGCCATAGCCTCTGCTAACTGCTCTTCCTGAGTAGGCTGGTACGATCGCGCGCCCATGGGTTTGCGATCGCGGACGGAAGAGGCTCTAGAGTGAGGTCCGGGGGAGGAGGATTGAGGCACTTGAGGGAGCTTTCTCTGATAGTATGGTATACGAGCAGCGGGACTAGCGTTTGATGGAGGAGCTGCCTGGTATGATGATCGAGAGCCAGAGGGAGGAGAAGGCCCTCCGATGCCCTGGGGGGCCCAGTGGGAGGACATTGTTGGTGGATGTTGGGAGGAGGAGGAGGGTGAGGAAGAGGAGGAAGCCGAAGATGACTGTGTATTGTGATTCAGCACGGCGGCGTTTGCCTCAAAGACTCTATCGTCCCAGACCTCCCAGCTGTCTGACTGAGCTGGCCTATCTGGGCCGAAATGATGCTGTTGGGCCGGAGAGTGGGAAGCAGTCGTCGGAACGGATACCGCGAGGCCTTTTAGGGTTTTTGCGTCAAAGTCGCTGTCTGACAGAGGCTCGCCGTAGGCTGGAGGGGGCTGGGCGTCGACTGGTACATCCATCTATGTGGGTATATATACAGATGTGTGCAAGTAAGCACTGTGTTGGACCAGCACGGCCTTCGTCGGTGGAGTTCAGTTTGGGCGCTATGGGTCTGAATTGGAATTGAGTCATATCATTTGTCGGGCGCTGTGCCTCGCTTGTCACGTGTGCCCCGATCGGTCCTCGTATCTCCCCGTATCTTCCGGGCTTTTTTCTCCCTCTCCTCTGGTCATCCATCAGCCTCGTATATCAACCACGATGCTCGATCTGGTGAGGATTGCCCGCGATTACCAAGGTCTCACCCAAAAGATTAGTCAATCTTGATGTCAGTTATCAAATTCACCCCCTTTCCCCAGATCTCAATGGCACGACCGTTGAGCATTGGAACCGTGCCCCAACCCCACTTGAATTCTCGCGCCTCGTGAACATTGCGCGTCCTGTCACATTTTCCAGCAAGTTGGATTTAAGCCATTTGATTTAGTATACCCTAGTAATCAATCCTTTGCCCTTTACCCATTTAGACGATGCTCTGCCAAACATTTTAGCTCGTGAACGATGGTCTGAGCAGTATCTTTTAGATACAATGGGAGATAGCTTGATATCCGTAGCCGTGACTCCTGATGGGTTAGCTGCATTTTCCCTTGAATACAAGCTGGCCATGTACCAACCTACTGTTCAATCTAAGCAATGCAGACGCTGTCACCCACCACCCTGCAGACGGAAAGCAGTATTTTGTGGAGCCTTGCATCGAGCGTATGACTATGCGAGAGCTTCTAAACAACATAAACGACGCGGGAGGTAATTATTCATTCCATTTCTATTTGACATGGAAACAAAGTCTACCCTCTCTTCCCCAGACGTATCCAAATCCTCCGCCAATGAAATTTGTTATCTCCAATCACAGAACGGGAACCTCTTTACACCAAAAGACCCATCCCACTGTACAAACGAATTCATCCCCATTCGTGACGACGTCCCAGCCGATATCGCGTGGGCAACTGAGGCTCTAGGTGCGAGCTATTATACCGATCATCACTTGGACCCTCACTCACATAGCAATGAATATATTGTTGGAAGCAACTAGCCCAGCCGCCTGACGCAGTGAATGTTTGGATTGGGGATGAGAGAAGCAGGACCAGTATTCATTCAGGTAGGCTGTTTTTCCCTTCGCAGATCGTTCCTGATCGCCACCGGCGTCCATCTCGACGTCGGCGTCGACAACCTTCGGGCG